ACACACACACACACACACACACACACACACACAGGACAGAGAGGGAAGGAAGAAGGGAGGAGAAGGATAGGGAGGGAGAGAGAATAGGGAATGTCTTTTTACATGAAGATCAGTTAACCCAGAGAAACCTGATGTCAAAATAGTAGGCTTACTCCTGCTTTTTTGTGGCAGGGATGGGCCTGCAGAAAAAAAGGAGATAAAGTATCTAAAGCTCTCTTTTAGAAGAGCAAAGAACAGCATTTCCTACTCATCGAAAAGCAAAGATCATGTTAATAATTTATGAGTTATATTATACAATTTCAAGTTTGAAATCCCAAAGGAAAAATTATTGATTTACTTACATTTGTTGTCCCTGAGCAAAGAAAAATGAAAATGCTAAATATAAATATTGTGAAGACTGAGACACAGCTGATCAGAATTTAAATCTTTTCTACTTGTTGCTTGATGTCTCCATATATAAACACATGTAACAATATATAATTATATATTTGTATATATGAGATAAGGCTGATAGCAAACAACATAGAAAATTATTTTAATCTATAAGATAACTTTTTAGTACTTTAGCTTGTTCTACTTTCTATGTATTCTTCCTCTTTATTATAAAAAGAACAGTATACATTGATGAACATGAACTAAGCAACTATAGGGTGGTGATGGGAGGGAGGGAATGAAAGAGAAGGCAGACACAGCTAATACTAAGCAAAAGGAATGAAATGTACATATCACCTGATATATGTAAAGTTAACCTTGCTGTATATCACCTCTAAAACAATAACAAAAAGAGAAAATGCACAAAACCTGTATAGCTCACAATGTTTAAAAAATCATGTGATGTCAGTTTTCTGTCAACATAGATTAGGTTATAGCCTCAATTATTGAGTCAAACACAACACTTCAGTTATGATATTTTATAGATGTAATTGAAGTCTCAAATCAACTGACTTTAAATGAAGATAATTCTCTATAAGTGGACCTGCTTCTGTCAGTTAAGTGTACTAAGAAGAACTGAGGCTTCCCTAAGAACAAATTCTGAGACAGAAGTTTTACCTCTTGCCAAAGATACAATGGTGTGAAATCTAGATTTGCACTTTCCTCAGCATCCTCTACTATTGCAGAAGCCAATTCCTTGTAAGAAATTCTCAATATTTATTTTTTATTGATTCTATTTTACTTCTTGAATAGACTGATAAAAAACATTAGGTATATTTTAGATATTGTTCCAGTATACTAGCAGAGAATAAAGAAAGTGCAACAAGAATTCATTAAATAAGAAACATGACATGAGCTGCAAGCTTTTAAATTTTTAAAAGATGAATACATACATATGAGAGACTAGAGATAAAACTTTAAAAAACTTTGGAGTGATAAATGTGCTAATTTTTATTTACATAGTAAAAAGCAATAGCTTCTTGTATTTTCTAAAATATATTTTTAGAATTTAATGTTCAGGAAATAATGACTAGTGAATTTTCAGTAGATATAGACAGAAACCTTCAGATAGAGAAGTAAACAGAATGAACGTTCTTGAAAGGGAATCTTGGCAGTTTATTTATCTAATACTGCATAGTAAAAATTTGGGTGGTTGTATTTAGAGATGAAATGAAGTAGACTAGGATATGAAGTTAATTAAGTGCACTGCAACCCTACAGTTTTACTTAAGGTAGCTTACATAAAGATTGCTCCCAGAGAGACAAGTCAGTGCCTTGGTTTGTGATGGTCTGTTAAATACAGGTCAATAGGCTTAGTTGAAATGGACAAAAAGTACTTCAGAAAGCCTCTTTGGGGGATGATGAGAAAAGTCATTATTTCATATAAACGAAGAAGGTAGAATATTTACGGAAGTCAGATCGGCTCTTTGTGGTATCACTGTATACACCAGTTTTCTGTTGTTTTTGTTTTTTCTTCAGTGAGATTTTCATAGTAGTAGTGTCTAGGACAAGGAAAAATAAAGTTTCCTTTTTTTGTCATTTCTTTTTATGAGGTTGTATTACATAAGATTGTCCTTAACAAAAGGGAAGCTCTGATATCTATCATCACTTATTGGTGGTTTGATCTTAGAAGCGTTCTGAGATTTACTCTACCTATGTTTTCTCATCTGTTAAATGATGGTTTTAATCATGGAATTATAAGAATAAAATTACATGATATTTTCTCCATTAAGAAAAGCTCAGTACTTGAATGAATACTGTTGTTCTATTACTATCTCCTCTTTTTCTTACTCCTCCTCTTTGAAGTTGTTAGATTAGCAAAATGTCCTAGCAAAATGTCCAGAGAATTTAGGAGGAGGGCAAAATTGAAAGAATCCGTTATACTAACAGGATTCAGGATTCCCTCTGGTTTTATTCTCAGTGCTGTGCTAGCTGGAAAAAAATGATATCTTCTCTAAGTAGTAGTAGTTTATTTCAGAAACAGATGAGCATACAAATGGTTAATGAAAACATGAGCCTATACAAAATTCAGTTCTACACCAACTTTATCAAGGATGAATGATACAGGATTCTAATTTTATTTTGCTAATACTGGCTGTTCTTTTGGCCTCTGAGAGACAATTCCTTCGGGATGACATTGTGAAGGTTATTTATACCAATAAAATAGCTTATGTTTACTGGCTTGGGACCCAAAATACATTGTGCTAGATCACAGGAAATCAAGTTTAAGTCAAATGAAGTATAGTGAAACTATTGCCTTTTATTATTGCTAGTCGAGTAATGCTTTGATATGGCAAAAAAAAAATGAGCTGATGACTGCTTTGAATAAAACTAGAAGGCTAGTTGGAAATCTAATTTCTAGTTTGTATTCTCTCAATCAATTCCCATTTTTATTTTTTCTTGTTATTTAAACCAGCTGGTCATGCTTGTTCAATGGCCTTCTTCATTCCAGCTATCTCCTTTGCACATTTAAAAAGTGAGTGGGGTTTCAGGTGCTTTTCTTCCTTCCTTCGGGGCTATCCACTGTAGGACTTTAGGGAAGAAGGTTCAGACTATTTTTTAAAAAAGATACTTGGGATGATCCTATGGGATCACAGTCTTCAGGGTACAAAAGAAAAAAAGAAAAGAAAAGAAAATCAGGTATTTGGAGTAAAAGGTACTTTCGTTGAAACTTGCTTCGCATACTCCGCTACTTGCTGGAGGCTTTGTGCCTGAGATAAACACAGGTCAAGTGTACTAAAACACTGAGATAGTATTACAACGCTCCACACACAGTAATTCGTGTGTGTGTGCGAGTGTGTGTGCGCGCGTGCGCGCGTGTGGGGATTCTATCCACGAGGTAGTGGTGTTCTGTTTTTCTTCTCAGGACTAGCACTCCACTCTTTGAGCCATAGATCCACTCCCAAACATTGTTTTTTGTTTTTGTTTGTTTTTATGTATTTAATAGGAGAGAGGAGTCTCACGAATTTTCCTTCCGCGGGGCTGGCTTCGAACAGCCAAGCTGTTACTCTTAAACGCTGGAAAATAGTCCTACCTCATTTATTTTCCCACCCTTCTCATATCCTAGACTTCTGGGACACAGACTTTCCTTGCAAGTCACCTGAGTAAGTCTCCTGTTTAGATTCTTACGCTTCCATCAAGAAGGGGAGAGACAAATACACACACGATTTTCAGGGCAGAGCAAATATTTTGTATGCTCTTACAATCGTGCAACTATCCTGTGTTTGCCAAAACCTCCGTGATGTCTAACGCCGCAGGAATACACAAAGTAAACTGCGCCTCCGGGTGACCATGGTGTGTCCACGGAACAAAACGTCCCGCTCCGCGCGGAGGGGGGCTCAGCGTGGGAGGAAGGGCAAAGGTCAAGGACGAGAGTTCTCGGGTGAGCCTGAAACTGCTGGAAACATAGATAGATAGATAGATAGATAGATAGATAGATAGATAGATAGATAGATCCTTTACCTCCCTGAGGATTTTGAGTGCGCGTGCTAGAAAGGCGTCTAGGGAGCGCTTTAGGCCGGGTGCGCAGTAAGCGCAGCCACCTGTCCCCACGGATCCTGGAAGGCGTCCCCTCTTCTCCCTGTGCCGCAACCCGCGCACTCGGAAAATAAAACCAATCAAGGACAGCTATTTCAATCTTTTCTTTTCTTTTTCCCTTGCCACCGCCCACTCCCGACAGGCTGACAACCTATTCCGCACCTCCGGACTCGCCTGACATTCCCAGGAGCACGCAGCCGCGGCGCGGATGGGGCAGCGAAGGAACCAGGGAGCATGCGCGGTTTCTCCGAGCATGCGCAGTCGCGCACCAGGCGTTTCTGAGCACCGCGGAGGAGACGAGGGCGACGCGGAGATTTCCGCAGCCTCTGTGGGAGCGACAGGAAGTGAAGCGATCCCGCCGAAGGGCCGCGGCGGCGGCAGCAGCAGCCGAGGCGGAAGGGGCGCTGCGGCGACGACGTCGTTGTTGTCGTCGTCGTCGACGGGGGAGGCCGAGGGAGCCGAGCGCGGAGGTGGCCGGCCCGCTCGGAAGCGGGATCCCGAGCCGGGCAGGATGGACCATCACCAGCTGGGGACTGGCCGCTACCAGGTGGTGAGTTCCCGGCCGCCCGGGCCGCCCCACGCCGCGGCCCCGGGACCCCCGTCCTCGGGTGGTCCCGGGGGTGGGGTGGGGGTGGGGACGTGCCGGCTGATGACTGCGTCTAGACGGAGCTGCTTCCCTCAGGTCTCGGGTCAGACCTCCGCTGGGATCCGCCGTGACCCCTCTGTCCCCCTCCCCCGGCCCCCGCGGCTCCCGCGCTCCCACCCACCCGAAAACCTGCCCACGGTTGACTTCGCCCCTGATCATTTCCGCGATCTCCGACTCGGTCTCTCTGGAAACATTCCCATCTATTCCCCCCCCCCCTCCCCCCAGTGCAGATAGGAAAATAGGACTGAATTAACATGCCGGTCCGGGAAGGTAGTTTGCCGTCGTCATAAATGGGGTGGGTGGCGAGGAGGTGTAAGCACCACGTAGGGTAGGATGTGGGTCTTTTGGAAACGTAGAGAATAGCTGGAGTGCTCCTCTTGCCTCTGCTCTGGTTAACCTTGTCATTTTGTCCTTTTTCATTACGTTTGTATACAAGTGGTTGTATCCTTTCTCCATTCCAACATATGAGATGTGTGTGTGTGTGTGTGTATACATATATATAATATACACACATATACACAGATGTGTGTATACATATGTATATACATGAATGCGTGTATATACACAGATGTGTATTTATGTATTAGAGGTATGTGTATATAGGCATATACACAAACGTACAGGTGGGAAGAGAGTCTTACTAGAAAAAAGCCTTGGTTGAAAAATAGTTTTTATTTAATGTAAGGTTTTTCCAGCTTAACCATATAAACTTCTGTAACTGTTTAAATGAGTGAAACATGTTCTGTATTCTATTGTGTGCCTGTTCTGTGTGTTGTTTGTCCTTTTTTCCTACTTTTTTTTTCTTTGTGCATGAATCCCAGTGGAGATTCCTCTTTGGAAATCCCATTCAACAATGAACTTGGAAATAGTTGACTGCTGTGTTGCAGCTAGGTAGTGTGTTAATTTGTAAACTTTCAGTTGATCATTTAGTTAAACCTGTTTACTAGGGAAGAGGAGAAAAACTGTATTGCTGATGGTGCAACTCATGGTTTATACAGTTTTACAAATAGCCATATGTTTGTCCCATAATTCACACTTTGGACCTATTTGTATACATGTTGTAAACTAATTCCTGATAATAAAGTTATAACTATAAGGATATTAAAAGATGAGGTCCCAATGTGTACAGTTTTTCATTTTTCTAAGGTAGTAGATCATGATACTATTGTCATTGGCTTACACTCTGTAAAACCTCCAAAAGATTCATATTTTAGATTTTCTGAAAATTGTCAGTATTTTCACAGTGGTTTGGAAAATAATTGTTTTCAGTATAGAAGGTCTTTTATACATTTTTTTCGGTGGGCTTTTAAGAGTTTTATTTTTGTAAATGTTAGCAAAAAATAAAATGCAGGGCTGGGAAGGTGGTTCAGTGGTAGAGCGCTTGCCTTGCATGCTCGAGGCCCTGGGTTCGATTCCTTAGCACCACATAAGCAAAAAAGAAAAAAGCCAGAAGTGGCGCTCTGGCTCAAGTGGTAGAGCGCTAGCCTTGAGCTGAAGAGCTGAGGGATAGCACCCAGGCCCAGAGTTCAGGCCCCACGACTGGACCTAAAAAAACAAAAAACAAAACAAAATAAAATAAAATACAGTAGATAGCTACGTAATATCAGCATAGTTGTTTAATTTTTCTATTCTTTTTAAAATTTTTAAACTTGGGGCTGGGAAGGTGGCTCAGTGGTAGAGCGCTTGCCTTGCATGCCTGAGGCCCTGGGTTCGATTCCTCAGCACCACATAAGCAAAAAGAAAAAATCCGGAAGTGGCACTGTGGCTCAAGTGGTAGAGTGCTAGCCTTGAGTTGAAGAGCTGAGGGACAGCACCCAGGCCCACAGTTCAGGCCCCACAACTGGACCAAAAAAAAAAATTAAACTTTTAGTTAGTCATTATAAAGGTGAGGACAGAAGAGTTACAGTTTCATTTTTCTATTCTTTCCTATTTGTTTTTCTTAGTATATGAGTTGATTTAAAATCTTTGACATAGACTTTTGCTTATGGGACTTTGATACACAAGTCACACTACTCAGTGTGTGTGTGTGTGTTAGTCATTATAAAGGTGACGGACAGAAGAGTTAGTTTCATTTTTCTATTCTTTCCTATTTGTTTTTCTTAGTATATGAGCTGATTTAAAATCTTTGACATAGACTTTTGTTTATGGGACTTTGATACACAAGTCACACTACTCAGTGTGTGTGTGTGTGTGTGTGTGTGTGTGTGTGTGTAGGTAGCAGGGTTTGAATGCAGGGCCTCCTTCTCTTATCAGGCTTTCTTGCTTACAACTAACACTACTACGTGAGCCATGCCTACAGTCCAGCGTTCTTGTTGGTTAATTGGAGATGGAATCTGACTTTTCTACTCCAGTTTGCTTCAAACAGAGATTCTCCAGGTATCAGCCTCCTGAGTAGCTAAGATTTCAAGAAGTGAGCCATTGGTACCTGGCTCAAAATATTTTTAACCAATATAACTCTTCCTTAAATAATTTATTATTGTCTCATTTGCTTTCAATAGATATGACTAGTTTGAGACTATTTAAATTCCTCCCATAAAAACACTGGAATTTTCTCCTTCAGTTTTAAGAGATTTTCTGTACAATTTCTTTTAAAATAAAGTAAATATCACATTTTTTTGCTTTTTCCTCCCTCCCCTCCCACAAGCTGAGGCTGTGTGCTGTGTAGACTTTGAATGGAGTGAGGCATTCCTTGAGAGCAGAGGGCAAAAATCATTCTAAAGATATAGGAAATGTTTGTTTTCCTTGTAAGTCAGAGCTGTATAAAATTTTAGCACCATTTAAGTTTGTGATTGATTTTTTTTTTACTGTCTAATTGCATAGTCATTAATCCATGTAGACTTCATTAGCTTCATTGAGAATTTACTGATTCATAACTATATCTAGGTGTATGGTATAGGAACAGCTGCATTTAAGTTCTGAGTAGATGTTGTACCTAGTTATTAATCTACAGTTCTGGCTTATATGATAAATGTTTTATGGCTGTCCTTAGCTCAGCTCTTTTTAAAAATAAACCGGAATGATTAATAAACTGGAGCAATATAAGCGTATTTGGTTATTGAGGGTTAAAATATAATTGAGTCAGGAGATGGGCAAATATACTTAGAGTGAAATGGAATGCTGTGTAAGTTTATTACTTAAGTTAAAAGTTATTTTTCCAGATTAGTAATATATAGGATCATCAGAATGACAATGACATACTACCATAAACCAATGTACTTGCTTTATCTGACTGCTGCTATCTCTCTCTATTAGTGTCTCCTCCCTCCCACCCCCATGCTGGAGATCCAACCCAGTCAGAACATGTTTGGCAATTATTCTTGTTTATGCTAAGCAGTTTCTCTACACTGAACTACAACCTCCCCCCCCCCCCCAACTCTTGTCTTTCTGAGTTGATGGACTACAGGTTTGCCTTACTGTGCTGGCTATAAAAACTCAGCAGCTGGTGGTGGTGGTGCTGCTGTTTAATCTCTTAGGGATGCAAAATTTGTTAAGTAAACCAAAAGTTATTAGTATAACCACAGTATAGAACTACAGTATTGTTTATTACTCTTCTAATTTCAGAAAGAAACAGGTATGATATATAATTTCATTGTATTTTAAGTTATAAATTTGGTTTTGGTTGATAGGAAAAGAGCAATGTTGCCATACCGTTAAGTAGTTGACTCGGAGCAGTTAGACCACTTTGATGTTCTCTATTTTGTAGGCTCATAGATCTAAATCAAACTGACTAAAATTAAATATATTGTGTATAAATATTAAATAAGCAACGTTAATTGTAGCAATAGTATCCCAGAGTGTATTTCAGAATGATGATAATAAGTGTTGAATAATATAATATTAATAAAACTACAAGAAATTCTATTATAAAGACAATGATTTAGATTTGGTTATCCTAGATCTTCCTTTGATCTTAGTGTTCTTTTTTCTTTCAAAATTGTTAACATTTCCAAAATGTTAAGTTTCTATGAGACATAATTCAAAGTGTTCATACTGTGAAGATCTGAATTTTCTGCTCTTGTATCTAGAGAATTAAAGTTATCTTTAATATTAATCAGCTAGGAAGGAGACAGCTTCACAATTTATGGTTAAAAATAAGGTTGGGGCTGCAGTGGTAGAGCGCTTGCCTAGAAAGTGTACCTTCAAGGCCCAGGCTTTCATCCTGAGCACTACAAAAACAAAACAAAAATGAAACATGCATTAAAGTCATCTGGATTTATATGTAGGTTGTACTAGGTGCAATTTTGAAATGTTGACTTAGTCACTTCACATCTTGAAGACTCAGTTTCCTCATATTAGCATATCAATATTTTGAGAATTAGGCACTGTAATATATGTAAAATTAGAGACTGATTCATGATAAATAAGTACCTTACATATAGCTAGTAAATTAGTCTGCTAATGTTTTGTGGTTGCTGGCAGAAAACAGGACACTGCCAAGTCAGAGACAAACGGCTTTGCTCATAATACACCAAACAACATGAACACTAGCACATTTGACTAGCTTTTCCTTGCTACCAAGTCCCAGGAGTGTAGTGGGTTCATATAGATACAACATTAGGTGTGCAGTCATTGCTGAGGAACTGGGAGCCAAGTGTCCAACACATTTTAGTTACAAGCAGCAAACATTGTAACAAACCACAAGCATGTTAATATGTCCCTACTAGCCAGGGCAGTTAACTTGAGCTGCTAACCTTAATCTTCTTGGTTGTCTATGTAACTTACCACACAACAAACAGTTCAGTACTTGGAATGGAAAGCTCTGCAAATGATGGGAACTCTCAGCCAGACCTGCAGGAACAATAAAGCCCTGGCAGATGGCTTCTCCCAATAGCACAGGTGTTTTCTTTTCATTTTTTCCATTTTAAAGAAGTATTGTGCCTCTTTAAGTTGTTCTAGATTCCCTT